GTGCTACTGTAGTATTACTGTAATGTTAGCGATGATAACTTCTTGTGTGCATATCGCTACATTCTGAGAGATACAAATATCGGAAAAATTTATTCAGTGGATAATATTTAGTTCTGTACTTAGCTCTCTTTATACTAATTCTTTTGTTTGAATAAAACAAGTCCACTTTTCCTATTTCATAAAGCGATAGTTTTAGAAAAATATTTTTCCATCTGAAAGAAATTTTTTTCAATAAAAAAGTACGTATATTAGTACAAGTAAATATGTTATTAGTTTCCCATCTAATGAATATTTCTTCTTTTTTAGATATTTCTCCTCTCAGAAAGCACTACTACTTTCCTGTTAGAACAATAAAAAAAAATACAGTTGGCTCCGAAGGTAATTCTGCTGACAAATAATAATTTTTTCTTTCTCTCACAGTGTATTAATGATGTCTCTAACGTCAATGGTATGTCATGAGTGCATCATTAATACGTCATTGAATTGCTGAAATTACTGCGAGGGAATGTCAGCGGACCAATCTTGACAGACTCGTCGAACACTTGCCACCTCTTATCGCGCGGGTGCGTGAACACCGGACGGCCTTATCTATGACGCGACTCACGGCCGCGCGGTGCAAATACCTCGCGTCTGTGCGACACGTAGTCCACGTACACCGTGGAGTTTGCAAATGACAGTTCCGAACGTGAATCGGCTGTGCAAACAGCGTACGGGATTTGAACGACGCGACGACGACGGACGCGTAAAATCAACTAGCGCTTTCGCGACGTGAGGCAGCAGCAGCAGCAGCAGCAGCAGAATACATTACGCGATGATCCACGTTGACCTTTCGCGTGCCAACGGTTCGCGCTGGTATGGCCATTTAGCGTGATTGCCGGGGACAACGGTTAAACAGCGGTTAAAAGCCGATCCGATCGTCGCGCAGCGATCGGACGATGCCCTTCCTCCTCCCTCTCCTCTCTTACGATCGGAGGAAGAGAGAGCGCGAGAAGACCAAATTATAGAATTTTCATTCGAGATCCCGCAATTTCGCGTCGAGAACGCTCGACAAATCCACGGGGAGCGAGGATGTACTCCACTTTCTCGCGAACGTGTGTGTCTTTAACTCGAATCACGCGAAACTGCGGAGCGAGCAACTCGCAGAAAAGCCCCAGTCAGAAACGTCTATCCTCATAAATGTTTCGTCGGTTTACTCCGAGCGAGTAGTTGCTAGTATAAGTTTTCATAGCAGGCAGGGGTAGAAGAGAGAGAGAAAGAAAAAGAGAGAGAAAGGGAGAGAGAGAGAAAGATACTTCGTGCGTGGCTTCGTCTGCCGCTTTCAAACACACCTCGCGGGCCTGCTCGTTATTTTTTCAAGCATGCTAATATCACACCCGGGTGAGGCGACCCTCTGACGTGGCGTGAGATCTCGCGATGCTGCCGGGTCGTCGCGACGGTAGCGTAGCTTTTCGTCGCGACGCTTTTGCTCTCTTTCACTCTCTCTCTTTATTTCCTCGCGCGACAGTTTACTCGCTTTCCCGAAACGGCCAACCAACCATCGTGCCTCTCTACCTTGATTGCAGCTATCGAGGTAACTCCCTGCATAATGCATATCGGCCTAACACGAAGGAACGGAGACAGGGAGAGAAAGAGAGAGAGAGAGAAAGAGAGAGAAGAGCAGCAGAAAAAGAGATATAGCGAGAAACAGACGACTGGCGAGGCGGCGGCCGGTATAAAGGCGCGCGACGCTGTACAAAAGTGCAATTTAAATTTTCGGACTGACTCACCGCAGTGGGAACTTTTTCAATGTATACAGTTTTAAAAGCTCCCGTCCCATTGCGCGCACTTCGCATAATGCAAAGTGGGTTTCGTATCATTCCCGCTTTACCGGCGCAGCGCGTAGTGCCGCCGACTATCCGCTTCGCGAATTTGGACAAGTATGGAATATGCACGACGGCATCGCGACGAGCCGGGTTCACCATTTAGTGCGCGACGTCTTCCTCGCTTTTTTCCCCCGTCGTCGCCGCTATCCCCGCGTCACGACGGCCCGTTTTAAAACCGTGCGCTAGATTTACGAGCCGCCCCTCTCCCCAATTGTGCCGCTACAATTTTGTGCTCCTCTCTGCCTCTCTTTTTTTTTCACGCGACGATCCGGCGAAAGGTACGGGTACCAATCCTCGCGCATTAGACTTTCATATTCGCCACGCGCGAGCGACCTGGTTCTTTCCCCGTTTCCCATCGTGAATAGAAACGCGCGCGCTCCTGGGAGAACGACCGATAAATGCCGAATTACGAGCGCGACGCGGAACTTCCGCAGCGCGGGCGACACGTCTCGCCGCGACGAAACGAGTGTCGAAAGGCTCTAAGGTTGTGATAAATGCCTTGTAAGGGCTCGTAAGGCCGATTGTAAAGGTCGCTCCTTGAATTGGACCGACCGTGATATTCTCCCGCGACGACGGACGTCCTCGACCTCGCGAAAAATGTCGCGTCCCGTGGACAAGGATTATTTTCCACGCGACATCACATCACGGAGAGATCGCGAAAAACCGAGCGCAAATGGAATTTCGATCGATCGCAATACAATTCTACCGCGTCGCCACTGGCAATTATTAAGTTCTGCGCGGAAGTGCGCGTAAAATTTTGATAAATTGTTATTTCATTATTAAATTATTTATCGCTAATTATAATTTGTTTGGATATTAATTATAATTTGTAACTGCCGGCGTGAGTGTGAAAGATGATGATAACGAACAAATGAAATAAATGCAATAAATAAATTGGCATTCCGTTCAATTAACATTCATCGGAGCCGTCGACATTCTCTAAAATTATGTATCGAACATCGAGTGGCGGATATCACGATAGCTCTCTGTTTTTCTGCCTTAATCTCTCTCTCTTCCTCTTCGTCTGCTAAAATGGTCAGATAAAGAATTTATCGATGTACGCAATTATCTCGCGTTAGATACTGGATAAAAACTGTGTTCCGCTTACATGTCTCGGTCCCGTGAACGAGTTTTATTCTTTTATCTTTAAGCTTCCAATTTCATTTTTACCGTAACAAACTAATGAATGTCAATTCGACGGAATACCGACAATACTATTCGCACAATGAGAAAAAAATGTTTGGTATTTGAGACTATCACATAGAAAAATAGTTACTACAAATTATGGTAAGAAAAACATTTTTTATGTAATTAAATTCTATTATAATTAGTGATGACATGCATATTACTACTATCATTTTTAAGTTAGAAACCAAAAAATATATTAAATACATAAATACATAAAAATATAGTTGGGACCAGAAATAATTTTCTTTAGATCAACCATTTTTTTTCTCTCAGCGCGTGCTTAAGTATCATCTTTGCAAATTCACCTTTCGAAAAAGAGTATAATGACGCGAGCTAAGGAAAACCTGCGTGAGAAAGGTTTCGAGAATGTCAAGAGATTCTTGGAATACATAGATATATCTTCAACATGGATTTGACATCCATGAAAACACGATTCCTCGCAAATGACTACCTTGTTACCGCCGCACTATAAATAGACCTGAACGGCCTTGGTCAACCTTCTACGGGGTCGTCGGCTTCCAGCGGCACCCTCACGTGTCGTGAAGGTGTTCCTTGACTGAAATTCGCGACCAGAAATCGCAACTCTGGACTCGGGACGGCTGTTTCGTGCGAGGCATCGAGTTGATGGCCAAATAATTTATGTTCCCTTCCACGATCGATTCCACTTGTGTAATATCGAGTACTTGTGAAATGAAAAAGTTCGCGCTTTCTGTCACGAGAAAAATTCGAAACGCCGAGTATGAAAGAAGAAATTGGAGCGTCACTTCTAAGATTTCTCATTTGGCTCTGTTCTTCCCTAAGATCTATTTCTGAGAAAGATAGTGAACGCGTCATAGTGAAATATAAAGGCGACCAAAAATTGGCTACCTTTCACTGTACCGTTTAAATAAATATTCGATGGTAAATCATATATACTGCACGTAACGTGTACACAAATATTTAACTAACGAAATATCCCAGAACGAAATATCTCAGAACTACTAGAATAATTTTAAGTCATAGCGCTCAGAAGATAAAGCAATATTGGATCTGTTAACTAATTAAGATAATACGGCGCATTGTATTTAAACAGCGTTATTATACATATTGTCATCGGAAACTTTCGTCCAAGTTGCCAAACATAAATTATTGCAGATTATGCGAATTTTTAATATCGCGGACTTTTAAGAAGTGTTTAAATATGGAGATGTATTCGCAGCGTTTTAAGCAGATACAGTACTTAAGAAGATAAATCGTAATTCGGGAAATTATTTCGGTAATTTTTGAGGCAAAATGTTCTCATGTCTCATTCCATCAAGTGGCGACGTCAGGCTTTGCGCACAGGGTAGTCAACCAACGACGATTTATCCTTTTTCGCAGCGTTTTCGAATTAAAATCTAATGAGCTCGCACAGAGAAAATCGCCGTGTGCGGGGAAAAGCGGAGTTTCGCCGGTCTGGCGACCGGGAAATTTCCGTGCTCATTCGTTTCTCAGTTGCGTTGAACCGAAAAATCGCCCGCATATATCTCATTTGCTTTCTTTTTGGACGCGACGTGCGCTCGCGAATCGATGGTGGATCAGCCTCGCAATTTCGTTGCTGCTCGCGGAGCTTCCGCGCGCCCTTTGACGGGATATTCGCTCGGCGATTTCATTCGTAACGCTTTGACGATCGGATTGCGGACAACGATACGGTATTAAGATGAAAAACAGTCAAAAATACCACGCGCAGAACAAGTGCTTCTCGGCGAATATACGCCTCGAGAAATTATGCGTTTGCTCCGAGAGAGCAGATTCGCAAGCATCTCGGAGCGACAGACGCGGTGCAACAATGTGACAACGACAATAGTCGTCGTTCTCCAGCAGCTCGCGACGAAAGACAGTCAGCACGCAATAACCGATGACGAGCTTTCGCGCGCGACTGCGTTTCACCTTATCGCGACGGAACCGGTGATTCGAGACCTCATTTCTTACCGATTTCCGGGGACGAAGGAAGAGATGTCCTCTCTCGACGATCCCGCTGAAATCTCAGGATATCACAGGTTTTATCACAGAACGATGGGCAGTATCCGATAAGATGTCCAAGTATTGCGCTCTCTCGTTCGACGCAAAATCGATCTCTCTCTATATATATGTATATATATATGTATCCAATCGCAGTCGTTTCCCGCTGGAGTTTAGCTCTCCCGTGCGTATCCAGTAATCCTGTCCGGAGTTGGTATCGACGAAACGAGCGGCGATTATCGAGTGCGCGCTAATCGCGTTAAAATATGTATGACGCGATACGGAGCGGTGAGGTCGACGATCGGCGTGTCCGCACGAATTATCGCCGGCTGTTATTCTTATCTGGAAGCTCGTCAGGCCGTTTTTCGAGACGAGTCTCGCTCTGTTGCGACGACCAGCGACGAATCCTCGGGAGCTTCGCGTGCGCCAAGCTTCGATCGCCGATGCAACAGCAGCAGCGGCAGTAGTTGTGTCGTGGACGACCGCCCCTGACACGATCGCGCGATTCCGGCCGTGCAGATTGCGTTTCAAAAGGTCACATACGAGGCTGTTGCATGCTCGCCACGACGGGCCGGCAAAAGTCGAGCTTGGGTGCGCGCACGTTCTCGATCTGCCAGTCGATTATTATCGATGGCTCTCTCTCTCTCTCTCTCTCACTCACCCTCTCTGCGCCGCGTCAGCTCAGGAAACTGGAACACGTTAGCGTCCGATTGTGCTCACGGGTTCCAATCCGAGCTTATAACAATGGCGATAATTGTCGATAATCGACGTGATATTCCTCTCGCCGCGTTCCTGTCTACGCCCTGGCGGTGTGCGGGAAAAACAACGCGCAACTTGATTGAAAACGCGAGCCGTGAGCGACGGAGCGTGATACGCGGGATGTCGTGCGTGTGACAGTGAACCGGCCAGTGAACGACGAGAAATGCTCGACTGGGGGCGCGAACACGCGCGCACTCCGTCCGCCACGTAGCACACGATTCACGTATTCGATTGTCGGCGTGGAATTCACGCGGGTGTGCCGACGAGACGGCCGTGAATGGCGCGCACTGAGTACATCACACTATCAGGTAGCGACTCACGATTTTATAGCGGCGAGCCCCGAGCGACGATGCCCTTTTCGGAACAAACGCCAGTGGCGAAAGAGGAGAGAATGCGAACGATCACTCTCACACGTTCCGACCTTCGGCTCCTCTTCGGACGATATCACGTCGATTGTCGTCGCGACAAGGTTGCGGTCGCGAGGCCGCACCGGACACAGCACAGGTCTGCCTCTCGGATTCCACGGGAAAGAGCTCCTCGCGCTCGGGGAAACGACGCTAGCTCGCGAGGAACGCCGGGAACGCTCGGTATGTCACGGGACAACTTCACGTCGCACTCGTTTCCGCTCCGTTCTGCGCTGCGCTCGCTCGCTCGCTCGCTCGTTCGCACACTCGCCCCTTTCTTCCACCGCAAACCAACGGATGCCACTTGCACGATTTCTTCTCCCCTCGCACTCACATGCACCACACTCTCTCTCTCTCTCTTTCTCTCAATTAGCACTCGAATGCACCCGTCTCGGCCACACGATCGCGTTCTTCTCCGCGACGGTACGAGCAATCTCGCCGGATGACGACGGTTGGGAAGAGGCTGCGGGACGACACGTACGCGCGCGATCGCGTCCGCTGGAGCACTGACGCGCGGCTCGCGATTCGAACGACTGACTGCGACCGACTTCAGTCGGTCGACTTCGGCTGCTCCGCTCGCCAGCCGAATGGACCCGAGGCGTCACGAAGCGCCCGTCTATCCGCCGCTGAGCGCGGCCCGACACTCCACTCCAGTCCTGACGACACTCCAGTCCCGATGACACCGCGGTCTCGACCTGGGATCCGAGACTGCAGTGGAGCGCGATATTTCTGCGATATTCCCGCGATATACCCGCTCCGAAGGAACGAAGTTGGACTCGTCGTAATTGCGTCGGCAGCACTCGGGCGCATTGCCCAAAAATAAGAAGAAAATTTTGGAAAAAATTAGAGATTAATCTATATTGCGTCTGAAAGTAATGGCAGGCAATTTTACATTGATTCAGAGTCTGAATCAACAGTCATTCCACTCTGAAATGTCAGTTCAGTAAATGTAATGACGTTATAATGATTATTGACGTTATAGAGATGTCATTAATGTGTCATTAAAACGTCATTTGGCGTTACGCTGCTGTTATTTTAAACCGTGTTGCTATGGAAATATGACATTGCCATCTCTAGTAGAGGAAAAAATAATTGAAAAATAATTGAAAAATAATCACTAGTATCTCACTTCTTCTATAAGTGCATTTTGAATATTCAAAATGTATGCGAAGTTTCAATATGATTCAAAGATAAAAGTTTTAAAATCAGAAATAAAATATGAAATAATAAAAATATAAAAGTATACATATTAAAATGTTAAAGTATAAGCATGTTGTTATTTAACTGTATTGTATATGTGGTACATATACTATACGTTTTGATACGGAAAATAAAGCTATTACAATCTCTAATTTTCAGTAACTTTGCAATATTTTTTTAATACATAGTTATTAAATAGAGTCATTGATCGCGATATTATACGATGTGATTTACTTCAATCAGCTGATTGACCGGTAGATCCTAACCGACGATCGTAGGTTTGTTCCTTATAGTTGCTCTAAATTGCGCTGTTTGCGCTTAAAAAATGAAATAAATATTTGATAATTAACGGCAGGGAAAGAAGAGAAAAACAGAAATAATATTATAAATATGATCTAGAAAACGCAGCCTATAAAGAACAAACTTCATGTCTTTGATCCCACGATACATATGATTTATAAAATGCATTAATTAAAGGATTACAAGTGAATACTACTTATCGACTACTGCCGCAAGTAGCACGCACGATGACGGTTAAAGGGAGCGGAATCTATGATCCAGATCTGAAAGCCGGGGAAATGAAGACAGCGATAACGCGCGCGCACGAATTACGTCATTCCCAATTCGTTTCCAGCAACGTTGCGCAACCGTACGTCGTCTTCATGCACGATAGTCGTCAATTACCGCGGCTGCACGAGCAGCTTCGCGCCGGATTTAAAACGGGCACGGCGACGGCACGTGCGTGATGGGAATCATTTTCACGCCAGACCGGAGATTTTCGTGGCCCTGTTCGCGTTCCCCGGGCCTTCTCGACGAGCGGGCTCGTCGGCGGTAACGAAGGGAAACGCGCGTAGTACGTGCGCGCATCCGACATACACCGCGCGCGGAGGTTCATCAGAACCTAGTTAACTCCTCAGCCTGCCGAACTTCGATCTAATAACGAGGCGCACGCGAGCCTATCTAATAACCATCGCGATTATATCTTCATTAAGACCCGTCCAGGACGCCGAGATATATCGCAGTGCGTTCGCCGTGCGTTCGCCATGCAGGTTGCTTTTATGTGCGGCTATATCCGACGCGAATGTTTACGTATGTCGTTCATTAATAATAGTACGGAAAGGCTATCATTAACCCTAGAGAGAAGGGCCGGTGTATATGTACGTAAGACCGACGTGTTCTCGGCGTTTATACGACACAACGTTAACGGGGAGGAGGGCCCGCTTGACGTTTCAAGATCGATCGAGAGCATCTTCCGTTTTCTACCCTCTTTCTTTTTATAGAAAGGAGGATATCCGCCTCGTAGGGCGCGTGCAGTTGCACGTTGCGAAATTAGAACGCGGTAACCCACGATCATCGTTGTTCCAGCTGAATATACCGACTGTCGCGCGATTATTGAGTCCGCATACCACCAAGGATCCGCCGGATTTGCATATTCATTAACCCTTTAAACGACAAGCTGGGGTCTCAACGAAGATTCCCCCATTCGGTATATATTTTTCAATGCAATTTCCATTGAGAAACTTTGCGGCACACCAAACTCAGATATTATACCGAAAAAATATTTTTACGCAATAAGATCTGTTCTCGTTAAATTGCAGCTTGTGTTTATCCCCATACAAATTTTAATATGCAGAAGAAAAGAAAACGAAAAAATTTTGGGATCATGTATGATCCTATCTTATTGTTTATGTTCTAAAATTTCTAAAACTTGTTTCTCGCGTTAAGATTCCCATTTTCATACATTTCTTAGTCTCATCGCAAGAAACTTCTTTCCGCGCATACGGCGGAGAGGAGGGCGGAGGAGTAGGTGAGAGGGCATGCGGCGTGAAAGTATCTCGGATATTCTTTATGAACCACGAAAGAGAGGTGTGCACGACCGTGTGCGCGCTTTTAATCTTTCGCTGAAATTCCTCGAGGAATCTCGCGCGCCCGCCAAAAAGACTCGAGCGAAATTTTATTACACGCATAAATCGCGCCCGCGTTCGTGGGCGTTCGGCAATTTCGAGAGCCGCGCGTGGCTCTCTTTCCTCTTTCTCTGCCTCGTGCTTTCTCCCTTTCTCTTCGACGCTTACTTTCCGCGATGGGGGAATTTAATTACCCGGAACTGCGGCGGCGGCGGCGGTGCACTTGCGGCCACGCGATCGTTCGAGAAAAGGATTGTTAAACGCAGCAAATATGAGTCCACCGAGTATATACGAGATTACTGAATCCGGATGACCCCCGGAACGGACGCTGATGGATTTACATTTTCATTAAGGCCCTGATTGCGACCGCAGCCCAACGACTGGGACGTTGTTGAAAAGGTTGGGCGTAATAAAGCAGCCGGAAAAACCTTCTCTTTTTGTAAACCGCAAGCGCATTCCAACTTTGATCTTCTTCCCAGGCAACGACCCTTCGCTCTTCATCTTCCCTGTGCTCTAGCTCGAGAGTCTATATCGCGTCTCGTCGTTCTCGCGCGCCGCTTTTTCCCAAACCTGTCCCCCGAGCGAACCCTCATAAAAAATACAATATTTTCCTTTCATTTGATCCGACAACCCCGCCCGCTCTTCTTCTCCCTCCCTCCTGCCCATCTAGCCAGACCAGCCGTGTCTTCGTGCCCGCTCTCTCGCCTCTTTGTGTGCCTGGCGGATCTGTAAGTTTAATTCGACGCGGAAGTCCAGGCGAGTCCGCGCCACAACCGCTCGCTCTGGGCGACTTGATTGCTTTGTCCTCAGAGACTCTAATATGAATTACAAACCTGCTCCTTGACTCCTCCACTCTCGTTCCTCTCACCCTACCCCGAACCGCTGCTACCTCATCGTATTTCCCTACCGGCTGCGCGTTCGCGCACACAAGAGCGAGACGGACCTGGGTTGATCTCGCGTCTTATTGTCGGAAACGTGCATTAAGATAAAAGAGAGTTTACGTTTACTTCTGACGCAAATGGTATTTGTGCGGGGGATAATAATGTAATTTGTGAATAAAGGGATGCGCGACGCAAATCTGAATTTATGCTTCATACGCGAAGTTGCGGCGGCAAAGGGGGAGGGGGTCGGGGGAGAAGTTTGCGGGTGATGTAACTTGCGGGAAGAACATTTATAACAACGGGGACCAGCGAGTGTGAGAGGCTCTATCTAAATTGCGTCCCATCGTCGCGTTTCATGAACGCGTCAAGATGCCTGAACGATATCTAAATGATGCTGCAACATCATGTGTGAATTGTAAAACATTTGGGACGGCTTTCAGTGTGAAAAGTGCCGGAGAGGAACGTCGCGCGAGGGTGAACGCGGATATATCTCGCGTGTGCTACTTGTCGACGCGAAATTACACGACAAACACGTCCCCGCGATCGACGTTTACATTTCTGCAGTGCAATCACAATTTACAGTGCACTTGCCGCGCCGAAGCGATAAAAAATAAAACTCCTGAGGCGTTTGGATGCGCGCGTGTCCCTTTTACGAGTTCCGCGATGTCACGGAAACGCGTTTCCACATGCAAGCGATAAAAAAGCGCGGTCTCGCTCGCAGACCAAGACGTACGGAGGCGAGCGAGAAACTCATCGCGCGAACAATGAAATTTCTACGTTCGGTTTTTATAAACTCACTCCCTTTCTTCCTCCCTCTCTCTCTCTCTCTTTCTCTTCAATCTCTCTTTCTCAACCTTGTATAAGGGATATTCCATATCGTGGGAACCGTATGCTATTCCGACGACGAATGTTTCATAAATTTCGAAAAATTGCCATCGCCGAAAGGAAAGGAGAGAAGAGAGGAGGAAGCTCGGTATCGATCGCAAACGGCGAGGAAGTGCACAAGCGAGACGCGACGAGAAAAGATTCGCGGCGAATTTAGTACAATCGGAACGCTATTTTCGAAATATCTATTCTCGTCTTCTAGACACCGAGATTTATGAGAATCGTTGCACAGGCGGAGGCGCTGCGCACTGCAAGAAACCTGATATTCCTATATCAAACTTTCATAGGATATTACGATCCCCGGAAAATCTATTTAGGATGGAACAGTGGAGAACCGCTTTATAGATATACGATTACGATGCGGGGGAAACGGATACGTAAAGTGTGTGGACTGTAAACGAAAATCTATAGAAATATGGAACCTCTCACGGGATCTCTCACCATCTCTTTCGTTTCTCCCTTTTTTAATGCCCCCAGTATCGAATCGCTGCGAAAACGAGAGAATGTCGGCCGGCGTGTGAGGAAATTGATGTTTTACTTCGTTAATTTTGCCATTCGTTAGTAATCGAGTAATGATAGAATATGGCACAGCTCCATGAATACTAACTATCGTGAATGTGCAATTAATTCTTCGAAAATATGCATCGTTAAATTACTGCGATCGTCTACTG